AAGAAGAAGAAGAAGAAGAAGAAGAAGAAGAAGAAGAAGAAGAAGAAAAATGTTCAGGAGTCTCCACTGAAACTCCATGGAAGGCTTGGAATTTTTTTTTTTTTTTTTTCTGGTAGTAGGAGGCTTTATTACACATTCCCTTCTTTTCTCACTCTGCCAGGCAACTTGTAGTTTAGAAAAGGGCTTTTCCTTCATTTTGAAGGAAATTATTCTATTCTTCAGAACAAGAAAAATTTAAACTGATTTAAAAAAAAAAAAACAAACTTTGGGGTTGCTAGCTTTCAAACTCAGGGCACTGTGTATGAGGTCTCCTCTGAGCCACACCCCGGGCTCTTTGAGTTTTATCTTCTGTTTACACTTTAATATTTGAAAAAAAAATGAAGAAATGGAAATGAAGCAAATAATATAAACAGGCACCAAACACATGCAAACACATGCATGATAAAAATCTCAATATTCTTCAGTGATGGCTGATAGATGCCCAAAGTTTTTGAGTTTCACTTTTTTTTTTTTTTAATGTATTTCCCCTTCAGATCTAGCCTTTTGCTTCATACAAATTCACACTATTACTAGATTTTGCTGTGGGATATGATAGGTTTCCTGTAACTTTTAAGAAATCATGGGACTAGGGGAAGAAGCCAATTGACAGGACCATGGGATAATCTTGTTTCTTGAGGGGGCTGTTTTGGCTGATGACAAAGCCCCCAGTGTGTCAATTGTCAGACTGAGGGATTGCTTGCACATTAAACACAATTGCATTTGCTGAAGTTAACACGTTGCCTTTGCAAAGCTGGGCTGTCTGAATATTTAGCATCCTCTTCAAGTTTCAGCTTAGACTTCAGGCAGCATCCTGGGTGTGCCTATGTAAAAAATGGAGCATCGCTTGCCACTTACAGCCACCCCACCCCTGGGACACACCCCACGTCATAGGCTTTCCAACTCGGAAAACTCGAGGCGGCTGCTAGAAAGACAGGAAGATTTAAGACGCTTCTTCCGGGGCACAACGAGGGTTCATCTAACTCCTTGCAGTTCTCAAACATTTTATTTTCACTATGAAGTCTGGAGGATTATATTAGTGCTGAGTAGACACTGTGGGTGGCACTTAGATTCCACTCAAGCCCTCACTTGAAAGGAGAAAAACCCTTCAGCCCCAGAGAGGATAACTAGTTCCTCACTTAAAACCACAGAGAACCATGAGGCAGGTGCTTCAAGACTGTTTCTCCCGCTGCCCTCCCAGTAATCCTGTCCATCTTTTGTTAACACCTGAGGCATGTGCTCTGCTCAGGCCAAGGAGATGCTGTGCACAGGTTACATCTATCTCAGCTAATTAATTATTGGTCAGATGTGTCCTCTCGATTACAGAAGGAGAAAGGATCCACTTTTGGAGATTAGAGAGCTTTTCTGAAACTCACTGAATGAGGCTCTGCAAAACCTGATCTTGTCCAGGTGTTTCACTGGAACCACAGGCTCCAGGTTAGAGGAAGATACTGTTTATCATCACATTCATTCCTGTAATTGTCTGACCTAGTTTTGGATCAGTGGGTTCTACACATTGCCGTGCAAGCAGTGTTCCAGGGCATGGGGAGGAAATAATGAAATAATGAGATTTCTATTTCCGTTTGTTTCTGAATATCATTCTTTTTAATTACTAGTTTATGCTTCCTAAGTGTGCATGATGTGGCACCTGCACTTACGTATAAATAATTCTTCATGTTTGGAGAGCTATATGTAAAAACGTTTAGTGACACTCAAAGGCACAAACAAACCATTGTTGAAAGCACCCACTTTTCTTTTTACTTCGAACTTCTAACTCACAAAACAGAGCTTTTTGAAGAAATGAATCTTACTATTCATTTCTCATCTAGTCTCTTAAAAAAAACCTTAAACCTGCATACTTGTCTCTTAAGAATAGAATTTTTTTAAAAAAGAAAATAAACTATTCAGTCCTGTCCCATAAGAAGAAAAGTTTAAGCTGATTCCCCAAGTGCCAGAGTCTCAGATAACCCTGCTTAGCCTCTTGTGAAGCTTTTGTTATAATCATTGTTTTACTTGTAAGAGTTCTGACGCAGGACTCAGAGTGAGAAGGGTGGACAAATCTGACATTTCCCACCAGCCACTTTCATTAGTACGAGCATCACTGCAGACATAGGGAGGTCTGGGGTATGGCACACAGTCGTCTGTGAGAACTGTAGTGGGACACAACCTTAACATCCAGGCCTGCCTAACACCTGCCTGTTATCCAGAAAATCTAGACAAGATAGATTGGTCATGTTTGTATTTTAGAGAGTAAGGAAATCATTGGCCAAGTATGAATAGAAAGTTTCATGGATAAACAATAACTTCAAGTATTTCTTGAACAACAAAAGTACTTTTCTCATAGATTGTATCACATATATAAACAGAGTAAAATAAAAGAGTGGAGGTAGAATTTTTTAAATAGATATTAAAAAAAAAAACAACCTAAAGCTAGTTTACAAAACTATAAGAACCTCATAAAAACCAGTGGCAAAGTTCAATGTCCTTGACCTGATTTCTTTCATTTGATTTCCCTCTTTCTATGCTCCAGGTGTCTAAATGCTCTGAGGAAATAAAGAATTACATCGAAGAACGTTCTGGAGAGGATCCCCTGGTGAAGGGGATCCCAGAAGACAAGAATCCCTTTAAAGAAAAGGGCAGCTGTGTCATTTCCTAATTAACTCTGGGGCAAACTCCGTTCTCAGCTGGGGCAGGTTGTTCTTTGGTTTAATCTTCCCCCAAATGAAGCCGAGGTGCGTGTTCAAGAAGGAAAAAATGAAATTGAGAGACTGGCAAAAACACTCTTCAAGCAGGTCATGTACGGAACATATCTGCTTCTTGTCTTTGCTCATGACACATGCTCTTCAGAGGGTGGAACATCCGATGTGCACCTTTGGGATGAAAGCACGGCTCTCCCCTTTCCGTATACTGCTTGTTGCCTCCAATAAAGTTTTGTCTTGGGGAAATTAGTAGTGGTGATTTAAGAAAGCATTTTTCATTCATTAACCCTTGAGTTTCCTTCTGTGACCAATCTAGTGTCTGGGGCTTTGAATCCTTAGATTAGGCAAATGTTATGACATGTTTTCCAGTCCAGCTCTCCCCAGTCCATGTGTTTAGAATGCCAAAATTCTGACTTCTGGGACGTGTTTGATGTAACTTCAGCTGTTAGGGGGGAGCTGAAGGGGTAGAGCTCCTAATGACATTAACAGGAGTCAGGCTGTGAGCCAGGAACTGTGCCAAACCGAGTCTACTTCAGCACTTCCTGGGGTTTGGACATGTAGATTTGGTTCAAAGTGTCCCCGAAGCAGTGTCCTCGGGGAAGGGACAGGACTGTGATTCGGAAAGAAAACCATCCTCCCAGCAGTGGTTAGATGGCCACCTCTGGCTGCCAGGGCTAGCTCTTTTGCTGACCCAAACTATATCTCCTGTTCTCTCCAGGTCTGGGGATGGTTCTGCTCTAGTTCTGTCATGTCTGAGAAGATATTTGAATACTTTTCACTCACACGCCAGCCCATTGCAGGCCCAGTTAAGCACGCCCCCCCCCACTCTTTCTCAACCTTCTCAAAAGTGTTAAAAATCAGTTGGATGTTTTCTTGTCAGTTTGTGGAAACTCAACATGTACTCCATTCATCCTGCTCTGCTGCTATGCACTGCTCCCTCTTCCAGTCAGTGGCTCCACTTCCCACCATGAGCTTCCGTACTTTTAGGCAGGAGGCAGGACAGCCCAGATGCAGTTCCTGTAGAAGTCCTTTATGAAAGCGCCTGTGACTAAGACCTCAATGGAAGAGAACTTTCTTCCTCTTGAAAAAGCTTTTTCATTTCCTCCTGTCTCTTGTTTGGGGATTGCCACAGATTTGGGACAAAAGGAAAACAAAATCTTTACAAATGAGTTCAACCAGGTATAGTTGCTGACTTTCTCTATGGTATTGAATGTGGCACTTGAAGCCCGTAAATCTCCTCCAGTGTGTGCTTTCCCTAGGTTAGGTTTGCAGGTTTTTCTTCCAAGCCAAACCAGAGGACCCGTGCCTCCAATAGCTTCCTGCTGTCCATCAACCTCCCTTGGAAAGTCTGTTTTTTCCCCTGTTGATAAGGGAACAGGATACTCAGGCTTTTGAAAAAGTAATTATATCAGACTTAACCCAGGGACTGTTTCCTGCCATTTTCCAAGTGATGACATCAGTTGAGGTTGCTGAGAGCCTGGGGATAATTTTAGCTCAATGTACCATCTACTGCAGAGAGAGTGTGTGTTGGGGTCAGGGGTGGGAATTAAGAGTAGCATGGACATATTTCTTCCAAGCACCATGGAACAACTGATGACTGAGGTGTGTTTCTGCTGTTTGTCACTTAACATTTAATGTGACACGTGATTAGGATCTTGGTGCTTATTGAGTTTAATTCTGATAAGCTGAGCCGTTTCTTTATAGTTGTCTATCAGGCTTTCTTTTTTGCTACATCCTCAGCAGTCCTTCATAGAGGTTGAAACAGAACCTTTGGTTTCCTAAGTGCTTGAGAGAACCACACACCAAGCTGGATCCTCTTTTTTCCATCCAGTTTTCCCCTCACAACAATTCCACACCCCACGTTTTGTGTTTCTTTCAGTCGCATAAAAAAATTATTCAGCCAACTACTGTTTTCCCAATAAATAACTAAGCTTGTAGGTGTTTTTGGGAAATATGTCTTTGTTCTGTTTCATCACTGCAAACTAGCTAACACAGAGAAGCATAGTATCTTGTGTTTCAAGTGATAAATGATAACTTGCAATGGGAAAATATGAAAAAATATGTATTTGAATATGTTAAAGAAGAACATTTAGCAAGTGAGAATTTATTAAGCAGAGTTTAAATCATGCGTTCACTTCCTTTCAACTATACAATTGTGTAATCAATCAGCATTAGACCATGGATGGTTGCTATGTTTTATGCATTGAGTTTTAAAATCTATGGGCTCAGGACAATTTATTAAATTCTTCTCCTATGGATCATTCTTTTTGTGTCAAATCTAAAACTTATATGCATGTTCTTGGCCTCAAATACTTTTTCCTACATAGCTTCTAAACGTTTTCTGTTATAAGTCTGTGGTCATTTCCAGTCAGTTTTCACGTAAGTAGCACTGTTTCGACAGAGGTCTCAGGTGTCTATGGATTTCTGAGAGGATAACCCCCTGCTCTCACACCCTTTATTGAAAAGTCTATCAAGCCTTCTTTAAATGGCTTCTGTATTTTTGTCAACGTTCACTGATAATAGCTCTGTGTTCATGCTCATTCATTCATTTTTTGGGTCTGTTTTTTGTCAGTGCTGTGTTTGCTTCATTTGCACAGCAGTAGCAGGGAGAGAGAAGCCTCACAATATTACCCTTTGCTTTTACATTTTGAACATAGAGATTGTACAAGAACATTGATCATTGGCTATAGGTGAAATCCTTACAAAATGTACATTCATGACCTTTACAAGCATATGCAAATTGTACAACCCCCAATAACAGGACTTGAGAGGTAGAAGAAAGAGGATTAGGAGTTTAAAGCCAGCCTTTACTACATAAAGAGTATAAGTCCAATGGGGCCAGCTTTAGCTCCATGAAACTGAAAAAAAAGAGATAGATTAGATAGAGAGATGATAGATAATAAATAAGATGATAAATATATAGATGAAAGAGAGACATTAGAGAGAGAATGTATTGCTCTTTGACATTGTATCTGACAGCCATATGAACATACTGTATTAGTTATGAAAAGGTTTTGTAGATTCCTTGGTGTTTTAATGTAGTCATCAATAAGTCATTTTTCCCCTTTCCAGTCTCTATTTAAATCTTGTTTGGCTGCAGTGACAAGATGTTTCAACGTCATATTAAGTTGCTGTGAAAAGATTAGTTTTAGAAATTAGTCAGCAATTTATTTTAAAATTGAGAAATATATCTTTAAAATCTGTTTAAAAGACAATGTAAAAATATGATGAGAAAACTTTAAAAGTTTTACTAAGATTCGTAACTATTGATAACCTCAAAGTAGAGAAAATTTTCATAAATGTTCTACTTGTCCATACAGGTACATACAAAGGGAAAAGAAAAATGAAAAGGATAAAATTCTATTTAACTCTTATCAATTTAATTTTTATTTATTTATTTATTTTTGGTCCCAGGCAACTGATACGAAACTAACTGCTGAAGCAAGTACCTCTCATTCCTTCTTTTAGATGACATTGAAAAGCCCCAAGTAGGACCTTCAGTAGCATCCGTGCACCCAGGAGACCTGATTAACATTACCAGGCTTTGAAACCCAAACTGCCATGGACCAAAGTTCATGCAAGTAGATAAAAACCTACACAAAACCAAGACAGGGTAACCACTTGGGAAAATGGCACAGGAACAATAGGATCCTTTCATAAAAACTAAAATGTTCTTAAAATAGTTGATATAAGAATCACAGCAAATCCAATCGGTAATCTGATTGTGATATGATAATCAATTGCTGTCAATGACAACGGGATTCAAATGTCAGACTTGCACAATAAGAATTGATAAAGGATGTCAGGTGGTGGTGACACCTGCCTTTAATCCTAGCACTCTGGAGACAGAGGCAGGCAGATCTATGTGAGTTAGTGGCCAGCCTGATCTACAGAGACAGTTCCAGGACAGCCAGAGCTACACCGAGAAACCTTACTTCAGAAAACAAAATTAAAAAAAAAATGTAAACATCATGATAAAAAGTTTAACATCAATTATAAAGTTTCTTGTTTAAAAGATCAATGAAGGGGGCGGGGAAGAGAGACAATTTCAGCTAAGTAGTAAAAGTTATGTGAAAGCCCTTAGTAGACTCTGTAATGTGTCCATCTCATTGGATAGTCTCAACAGTGGTGTAAGGATGGCAGGATGGAAGGAGTAGGCTTCAAGCCAGGTCTTCCTCATGCTACATTACAGAAGATAAAGAAATCAAAAATTCACAAGACAATAACAAAGGAAGAAATTGGTATAATCGAAGCAGTAGAAAAAGAGACAAAGGCGTAGAACTGACGAATCAGTAAGAGGAAAGCATAGCAAATGAAAGTTCCCCAAAATTTGCCAAAGATAGAAATGCCAAGTTCAAGAAGTTGGTCAAAGCACGTCTAGGATAATGCTATAGAAATTTACACTAAGACGTGTCATAACCAAATAGCTTGAAACTAAGAAACAAGGTAACAATACTGTTTAGAAAGATTTATATTTCTTTTGTGTGTATGTGTGTTTTGCCTGCATGTACTTCTGTGCAACATTCAGCCTCGGTATCCAAGGAACCGGAACAAAGTGTTGAATCTGCAGGAATAACAGATTGTTTTAAGCCTTTGTATAGGTGCTAGAAACTGAACCCGGAACCTCTGTAAAAGCTGAAAGTACTCTTAACCACGGAACCATCTTTCTAGCCCCTATGAGACAGTATTTTCAAAACCACAGGTAAATGTTACATTTTGTATTAAGGAAAAAAGTCTTGAAGTAAATAAGTTTATTACTAGAAACAATGGAGGCCAGAATGAAGATATAATCTTTTAAATGCTGAATTAAAAAAGAAAGATAACATTGAACCCAGTACCTGTGAAACTATCCTCCAGGAATAAAGAGTAAACATAAACATTCCCAAAAGAAGGAAAATTAAGTGTGTTCCTCACTGACCTCTTAAAAAAAATAAGGGAAGTTCCCCAAACTAAAAGAAAATACAAAACAATAATAGAAAGGCTTACACAGTAAGAAAAAGAAGAGAAAAGGGAAAGGGAAGAGTTTAGAATTGTAGCAGTGACTAACTTACAAACTGCACAAACTTCAAAGAATAGGCTGTAAGCATGTCAAATTAATTTAAGTCTTTTGAGATCTGATCTGGTGCCAATAGACTAACCTATGTAATACACTGGAAAGGTCAGGACAAATGTAAATATTTAATTATTTAACATCCAATTTCCATTTTGCTCCTACTGTGCTAGGACTGGTCTAGGCCTAATGG